GCAAGCAGCAATCATTGCTTTTTCTCACATTCCTTTGTTGCTAAGCAACTACGGCAAAAAAGGAAAAAGCAAAAACAGCACCTCGGGAGTGTTTTTTTTTTTTAAACTAACAGATATTTCACATATTTTTTTAGGTGTAAATGCCAAATCTCGAACATTGTTGAATGACTCACGTTTTTCAGTCTCGTGACTCTCCTTGCATCTGTGCTAACGCATGCAGGACAGCGAAATTCACTACTCACCAAAATATCAGAATGAGCAAATTACATCAACATTCTTTACTGGGTTTTCAAATGGGGGTCCCCAAATTTGATGATTTTTCAAAATGGTGTTTGGGATGTTTCCCATTCCCACAGAACTATCACGTTTCCTCCTCAGAACGGACAAAATAATCATAAGTGATGTTTTGGTGGGACTACCCGATTTATCATCCCACACAAAAGTCATATTTTCTGGCTCACTGGACAAACAGCCTATTTCCCTGCCACTCAATCAAAAAGATAAAAGCCCATCTTCCGACAGACTGAGGGACATAGCAACGGGATGGAGACTCCTGGGATGACGTGACTTAAAGTGGGGTGGACTTCACTTTCATGTGGAGAGAGCAGATCAATAATTGGAGGGGCTGTTGAGACGTGGGTGTAGGTCTTAACCCTTCGTCTCTCCCATGTATATGTTCTTTGAACTAGAAATAATCTCATCATTATGAGGATAATGATTAGAGATAAATGAAGGTTGTACATGTCTATAGTACGGGAGGTGATATGCCAGCGACACCTTGCTGACAACTTCAATATCTAGATTAGATGTTGAAGTGGAGGTGTCATGGTCTATGTGGAGGTGTCATGGTCTAGTGGATAAGTCACCGGACTGTGGATTGCATCGTTCACAGTTCAAGTCCTGCTGTGGCACTATAATGCCCCTTGGCAAGACATTAATCAACATTTGCACACTCAACCCAAATTTCAAAATTACATGGAAGAAAGTTTACTGTATCAGAAATATGCTTTACAAAAATAAAATTTGACAGTCCTAATGAATTACACCTTTATTGAACTTTAACTAAAAATCCAATAATGCAACCTTTGGGTGGTTTTGCGGTGCCTGTTCATATTTAATATAGATAAATGGAAGGAAATATATTAATTCTGTCTTTTAACTTTCAAAAAGTATTTGTGTCAGGGTATGAATAATTAGTATATTATCAAAATGATATCATTACTACAGGAGTCATGGATTTTAAACAACTTCCATGGTAATGTCACTACCCATATCTTGCTTCAAAAGGCATTTTGGACTAATTTTTCATTTTCGATTTAAAAGTTGAACAGCATGTGGGAGTCCTGAGACAAATACAAAAATAAAAGAGAAAACCTTGACATCTCTAATTCGTTTGAAGGTCTACTGTCTTTTCGAAATACCAGGAAGATGATGAAAGAAGTGATTTGTCATACCAAGTACCAAATTTAATGGGTACATCTGGTGAATGAGGTAAAAAAGGAATTGAATTACATGTCTTTTCAAGGGCAGATGTTAAATTGACTAATATGTTTGTTTTTTTGCTTCGTTCCTCTGTGTCTGTCTGTAATCTCTCAATGAAGATGACTATGATTTTGGAGTTATTTTTACTGTGGTATAAATGGAATTCATACATTTAACATGAAAAATGTCCTGTAGTTTTTAAACTACATTTCAGAAAATGTTTTCCTCTTCCTTTCTTTTAAATGGTTTCCTTGTCCTCTACCACCACCACAATCACCACCACCACCACCACCACCACCACCACCACCACCACCACCACCACCACCACCACCACCACCACCTCCACCACCACCACCACCACCACCACCACCACCACCACCACCACCACCACCACCACCACCACCATCACCACCACCACCACCACCACCACCACCACAATCACCACCACCACCACAATCACCACCACCACCACCACCACCACCACTACCAATACTACCACCACCACCACTACTACTACTACTACCACTACTACTATAAATGCCACAGCAGTATAGTACAACATCACTTTTCATTCATTCATTAAACATAATTCCTCAATATTTGAAATTTCTTTCCTTTGGGATGTTTGCTCTACAGCAAAATATATTGTCTGCTCAAAGCTAGGAGGGAATTAAGTTACTTTAGCATCTAGACTTTATTAATCATTTGCCTATTGGTATCACATGTGGTCCATGTATTAAGCCTATGGGAATTAGAGAATTCAGAGATCAAAGGGTTAACTACCCATTTCTGGATCCAGTAACAGTCAGAAAATATCATCTATACAGAGCAAAAAGAGCATCAGGAGTGTCATGGTAGAGTGGTTAAAAGCGCTTAACTGGAGCTGCGAAGGTCGAGGGTTCGAATCCCGACACAGCAATATATATCCTTTGGCAAGATCATTAACCTGCACTTGCTACTCTCCACCCAGGTGCTATATGCATGGGTACCCGGTAGGATGTGACCGTCATTGTTGGTCAAACAGTTTTTGAGCGACAAGTAACGCCTGGCTGGAATGCTCCCCAGGAAGTGGAGATTGTGCACACAATGTGTGCGGGCAAGTATTGAATCCAATGATCGGGTAATAGTATATCTGTAAAGAGCTTAGAGACATTGTAGATGTATTAAGTGAAATATAAAAGCAGAATATTATTATTATTATCAAAATGTGCAGTCATTGCCCTAGATTCTCTGAAGACGCTATGTCTAGTGAAACCGAGAACTGTTCGAAAAAGGGAAAATAAAGAGCATGAGAGCGTGGTTGTTTCCTCTGCAGGAGGGTACGGCTCTTTCCTGTATCATTCTCGATTTAAGTCACAGTTGATGTTGGCCAAGTTTGATTACAGAGTCATACATGTGGGGCAGTCAGCAAAACAACAGCTGGTTTCATCATTTTCTTTTCTTTTATAACAGAGCATGCACAGTCTTTGAAAGTATGGTTTTCCATCTGTAATACTATACTTCAACGAAAGTCCTAAATTGTGGAAGACATCAAGATAACAAAGAAAAATGTGAAGTATTTCATTCCGAAACAATGTTGTGCTTTGCCTGTTTAGAGCCAGATTGGCATTATCTCAATTACACAGAGTTAATGCCCTTCTGGCTCAAAACAGATGATATGAAGGAAATCATACTGTCATTTTTTTCTGAATGTAATCGTGTTTGCAATAAAGCCTTTTTCTCTTTTCAATACACTAAACCAAAGTTATTCAATCTTCTCCTAGTCACTGCACACTTTGAGGAATTAAAAAGTTTTGTGTAACCCCAATCCCTGATTCAACCCAGAATATTTGTTTTCTACCATTCTAACAGGTTCACATTGGCAGGATAGGCGTACCGCACATTTTCACATGGTGGACAAATGGACAATGCTTCTAGCCTGAATATATGGTCTTTAACTTTTGTGATCTACCGAAGCAAGCAATAAAAAAAAATTGACACATTTTTATGAAAAATCAAAGTTATGAGCATTTATAAATGCATTCATAAATTAGCTTAGCCATTTATTCTTAATGGGAAAGGAAAGTGATCAGGATTCACTGGAAAAAAATTAAGAGCCCACATCAATATAAATCCTCCATATTTTGAGATTATCAACACGCAATATGAAAAAGAAAACACATAACTATGATATAAATATCACTTTGTGAGTCGTGTACTACACGACCTTTCATCAAAACCCGGGGAGGTATGTGCATGGCATGCATGCTGGGGAAAATATTGCAAACTGTGAAAGGAGGGTTTCATAAATAAGTAATTTACCCTAAATTTTGGCCTATCCGCTACATGAGCTTAGATGTAATTGACAGAATATTTGCACAATGATGAACCCGGTTATGACATATTGATGAATTTATTGGAAAACACTGCCACTACATCATGCAGTCAAGGCCAGCTAATCATTGTCATCTATGATTTGTATGAGAAAATATCACCTGTTTCTAATTCCCATTTAATGAAATTTGGAAGATAGAAGTATTTGATATAATTCACGATCATATATTGCCCTGGGAAATAGTCAACGCTATATCTCTCACACAGAAAAGAACTGTTTTGACTCAAATGTGGGCTACCTACCTTGGATTAATACACTTTTGAGGATTGTACACTGTAAAGTGAATATGGTGATTATGGCACAGGCAGATTTAGGGAATGGGGGGCACACCTAACTCGTGCCTCCCCTCCCCCCCCCCCCTTTTCAAAACCAAAATAAATACCTTGTGCCCCCATCCCTTCAAGGTGATGACCTTTTTTTCCTCATATTATTTGTTTCTTTTATTTTGCTATTATTTTAATTCTTTGCTTGTCACAAAAAAATTGAGCATTGTGCCCCCCCCCCCCCCTTTTTTTTTAAAGTCCTCGTTCTGAACATAGATTATGATGCCGGTGAAAATTGAAATTTGTGAATTTGTAAAATATTTTGAAAAGAAAAGTGAGATACCCAAAAGACATTTAGCGATAGGGATCAAGTTTGCTCTTCCCTGAACTGCAAGAGACTGCTGCATAATGAAAAATAATAATTACAATAGATACCGGTACTACTATCCCATTCATCATTGAATGCAGCCCAAAATTGCACATTAAGTGCACCATCTCCACTTGCATGAGAGCCTAGCTTTCATAGTGTGCACATTCACGTGTGTGCAGAGCAGTAGCTATCATACAGATTTCCTCCACTTCACTCCACTTCATTTTTGGTACAAAGGATTATGCAGAATTCACTGCCTTTCCAAAGATCATTGAAAGCTAACATAGCTGTCTTGGGACACGTGACCCAAAGACCACAAAACATCCAAAGAATAAAAGAATAAGTCCACTGCAAAGCACACTAAATCATGACTATTCACATGAACCGATTTGGGTGGGAAGGGCACTTATGCTTGTCAAACACTTGAGTCAAAGTTTTGAGTATTATACAAGCATTGTGTTGACTGATCATGATGTCAACAATAGAGAATCATGAGACAATCAAATCATACCTTGGTCACCTCAGCGGGTTGCAAACTCCCCAGCTCTATGCTTGTTTCCTGGACTCCTTTCAATATCTCTCCACTGTGATTAAGGTTGTCCGTCATTGCTCAGCTGTTTTTACTCACTCCACAGGTATATATGCAAAGCTCACAAACTTCGCTTTTTCTATGACCCGAAGTTTTCCTTCTCCAATTCCTGTCATTCACCAGGCAACAGCATGTAGTCCATTCTATTCTCTCAATCTCTTTCTCTTCCTCTTTTTCCCTCTCCCTCCCTCCCTCTCTCTTTTTCTCTCAGTCTCAGGACCTGCTGAGCGAGACTTGGTAAACTCTCAAACTTTGGCAAATTGTATATCCCTATGGCGTAGTCACGTACAGGCCATGAAAAGCTGCTTGCGCTGGGGTTTATAGAGCCGGAGTGGTAACTGACACTTTTAATACCACAACAGTAGTACCTCCTGCCAATATTTACAGGCACACAAACTATCGAAAGAGGGCACCGTGCAAGAGAGTGGACTTTCCAACCCGATCCTCTAACCAATCCAACCACTGCTCGGGACGGGAAGTTGACCCCGGGATACCATGATCAATTTGCCCGCCCATATTTCTTCAGATTTGGACTGATTGAGAAACTTGAGCCCCAGGGTCATTTAAAGCAATAAACTATACTGAAATGGGTATTATTTACACAAGATAATATACTCTTTTCCCTTTTTTAAAATTCTCCTGAAAAATTCCAATTATTCTTAGTAATCTAGTTTAAAATCTTAGATGACAGGAATACCCAGAATAATGTTATGATGTAAATAATAGACAATATTCCTCAAATATCTGTAGTAGGTGTCACATATTTTTAAAATGGTATGGAAAATTTCATTTATTCTTCTCCATTTCATTAAATGAATTTTATAGCAGAAATATATAATCATTAAATGTATATTCCTAATATAAGCCTACATTTGTATTTGACTCTATAATGCAACTATCAACCCCCCCCCCCCCAACCTTCTTTTACAATCCTACATCCTAATTATTAGGGGGATAAATTCACAGATAATCCTTCTTTTATGCTCATCCACACATTTATTATTCCCCTTGTCAGTTATGTTTTTTGCTGGTGTGTTTGTTTTGTTTCTGTTTGTATTTGTGCATCATTTTAATACTACAAAGTTCAAAGTTTCTCAGGCTTAAAGTTTATAACTACGACAGTATTGTGTAAACATAGCTTTTCTGTAAATGATGAACAAGCAAATAACATTGTTTTACACTCCCTGAATAAATAAACCACTTTTACAACCAAATATTGAATATTATTCCCGGATGACAATGGGGAAATCACTGTTATTCCATACTGCAATGTAGATGAAAACATGGGAAGTCAATGATTTTTCATACTAACAGAGGATATATTTTGAGGGAATCGTGGTTCATACACATCTACGGATACCTGTTGTTATACTCATATATTTAAACAAAATGGAAAGATGGACACCTTTTTTGTGTTTACCCTATCCTGCATGATCTTTATCCACAACATAATCAACATTACTGTTTTTGTTTGAGTTTGGAGAAATAACTGTTATTCCATACTGCATGTAGATGAAAACACAGGAAGTCATTGGTTTTTCATACTACAAGAGGATATATTTTGAGGGAATTGTGGTTCATGAAAGATCCTGAGAAAACAGCACTTTTTGTTTCTTTTTTATGTTTGTTGATTTACTTCCTCCACAGAGAAAGGAGATAGCCAGTTCTAGGGTTGGACCCCCCCCCCCCCCCCTCCTAGTGATTTAGGGATACCTGGTACTAAATTTGTTGTACTCATTTTCCAAAAAGCGAAAGGTAGACACTTTTTAAAAAAACTTGCGCTATCCTGTATGATCTACAAATGAATTACACAATAATTTGTTGAAAAGCTCATTGGGAGATCTACATGTATATCCTAGACATAATGAACATTGCTGTTTTGTTTGAGATAATGATAACAAAGATACAAATGATTAATCAAATCCATGTCTCTAGGTACCTTGTATGAATATTTAAGTATAGTATTTGCAAATAATTAAAGACAATGACATTAAACATCCAACTAATTGACAGCCTTTCGGTAGGCCACAGTATATATACAAAACATACTGACCTACATTATTGGTAGCTGCAAGGAGACCTATACTACCTATGAGCGACATGTTTCTGATTATATCTTCCCTTTCAACATTTAATGAGTGTATTGTTGAGAGGAAGCTGCTTCAATCGTAGCTTTCTTCCTATTACCGCTAATTTCCTCTTCTTGGTAGTATCGCTCTTTCAATATGTGATCTAATTTCCATTGAAGGTATGTGATAGCAGGCATAATGATATTAGCTTCTTTGCAATACTTGTACTAGATTTATCCTCAGACTAGCAAAATCCAGTGTATAGTGATATGAAAACCATACATGATAACTAATTATATTTTTCTAGTCTGAACATCGTACTATAAAATTGTAATTTGAGCATCATTTTGAACAAATCTCAATAAAGAATCAGGGTATTTCAGGGACCCGTTTCACAAAGCCTTTTTTCAATGATACTAAGACAAAAATCAGTGACAAATCTGCTGATAACCAATCAGAAACAAGGATTTCAGTAGCTTATAACAAAAACTGTCATTTGTCACTGATGACAAGTTTGGTGAAATGGGGCCCTGGTGTGAACATTTACATTTTTGTAAAACTGTTTAACTGGGTGGGGTTTATTGTGAGTGCACTGATGATTGGGCAGCTGGTGTGTGAACCCACTTCTTCAAAACAAGTGTATTCAATTGGTACAACACTTTTTTCCCCCTTATGTTCCCCATTTGCTGTAAAACAATTTTTTGTTTACACGACATTTCTATATACGATTTTTGCATAAATCTTGTCTTGTCTGAACAGGCTCCTAGGCCGACAGGATATTAGTTCTCTGATATAAAAGCAGAGATGGTGCTGATAATGCAACTGATGACATGATTGTTATGGCATCATTCACTCTTGGCAGTGGAGTAGCTCCACAGAATAGAGTTCTCATCATGTTGGTGGGGTACTTTTCATTTGTTAGGGTCTAGATTTATAACAAATCCTCACTAAATGGTTTCCTTGTCCAGGCCTTCATTCAAGTTTAGATATAGGTCTATTTTGTTATCTCTGGAAGTGTCATGGAATGAGTTTCATTCACTTGACGTTTAATCAAAACAGAATTCCACACTGATATTAAGTTGGTTTTAATATGAGCAGAAAAAAAGACAGATCAGTTGAAAGTTTGAGCAAATTCTGATTAAAAATAGGAAAGTTACACATTTTTTAAGTTGCAATCGAGCAAACACAAACTGGTAACTCTGTGATGTATCTTGCAAGCTCCCCAAATTGCATCTTTTCCCACTTTTTTCACCGAAAGTGCACCTTTTTCTACTTTTGAAGCATATATAGGATTGGCAAATACATTGGAATTCCTTCCATTTCAATTTAATTGAACATTCTAAAAACATCTCGGTAGAAGAAAGGTGAAGGTTGCCTTGCTCAAGGTTGAACTCTTTTATCGACAGGAACTCAAAATAAATTAAATACATGTATGTAACAAGACATTTTAGAAATGTCATAATTAGGTCCATTTCAAAGCAGCAAATGACATATTGTGGGTGGCAAATAATGTGAATGTTGAACAAGATGTTTGGACTATATTTATATATGCAGGTTAACATTTTATTCCTGAAACTTACACATATGCTTTCACTGCAAAGTATACCAAATTTTACTAATTATGAAAATTGACAAGCCTCAGCAGCACAGAATTGATTAAAAAGCATTTGGAGAGAAGGGTATGCTTGAGCAAGGGAAAGAATGTGTGAGCATTTTTATAGATCAAAGGGATTTGCCCATGAATTTGCTATTAAAAAGTTACATTAGAAAGAAAAATATGAGGGTATATCGTGATACATTTTAGGAAAGTGTGATCGATTCCTGTACATACAATGTAGAGCCGACGTGGGAGTTCTTATTATGAAAGTAAGGCCGCACCTTCAAAGAGGGGAAAAGGAGGGGGTACACCAGCTTTAACCTATACTAGCTAGTAAATACCTCACTTTGTCCTTGAACATGAATACAGTTCAATCATGCCCACTACCAGCACTATATACTGTAGTATCAAGTGACAATTTTTGGATTTAAGTGTACATCAAAGATTTGTCCATAGATTGTGAATATCAACTTAAGTTAAGCGTTGTAAAATGTAAATGCATATATATATATATTTCTCTCTCCCTACATCTGTAATAAAAACAATATTGCCTTCCAGGATCCAATCTGAGAAAAAGTTGGTCCATTTGCAACTTGGCAAAGAAACCTGATAGTCCGATAATATTACCAGCCATTCCTCTCTTTTGGGAAAACCCCTCTTCACTCTGCATGGGCTCGGGGCTGGTGATTTACCTCAAAAGCGAGACTCAATCTCTTCCGACTTTTTCTTTAAAATTATGCGCAATGAGAGAGCATTAATGACTTTTGTCTCGAGGTAGAAGCAACAGCCTCTGAGCATGAGTGTAAATGATAGCTTTCTCCTGCACACCCTGATGACTTGTGCAGGGAATTTGTGTCAAACCTCACTACAGGGGAGAAATCTATGCACAGGTTTCACAAGACATAAAAATATCATCATCAAACATGATATACACAGGTCATGGACTCAGAGAAAGAGTTTGTTGACAAAGTCAAAATCTTTTTAATGTCTAAGGAAAAAATAGTAATAAATCACTTCTTGAAAAATGTAGGGCAGCAATTTCAACTAGCCATCTAGCCTCAAAAAGAAAGATCTCTGAGGAAGTTCACAGCAGGATTATGTTTTTTCGAAAATCAATATAGCAGTCCTGAATTATTTCATAGCGAAAGGGCCTAAAGTTTGTTAGAGTTATCTTTCCAGTCACTATGAAAAGCCAAAGAGCAAATACGAGCAAATGAAAAGAGCAATGGTATTCCGGATTTGTATAGTGATTGATAAATTAACAATGTCTATATTCTCCCATTCGTTGGATTCAGGCTTGCCCACAAACAATGTGTGCACAATCTCCACTCCCTGGATAGCTTTCCAGCAGGGTAATCTTTTACTTTCATGTATCCAAACACAATGAAGTTCACATCCTAAAGGTTGTATCAGGTGCCCATTTACCACCCGGGTGGAGAGAAGCAATATACATGGAACACCTTGCATAAGGATTTAAGTGATGAAGCAGGGATCAAATCAAGTATATATTTTCTTAATCTAATTTTGCACCTGACTGCTAAGAAAGCATGTATATGCTGGTACATGTAAGTAAGCAACCAGAGGACCAACCGCTTTAAGTTTAAGCCCTCTCCGAGGGACTTTGTAATGAGGATTACTGCCTCACCTAAATCACTCGACTACGATACAGTTTTAAA